CCAAGAAGGCCTTTTCCCCACAATATCGACTCTTCGTCCTAAGTTGTTTCTTCGCGGGTGTCCATTTTGCACTTTTGGGCTATTCCAAACTTCGTTGCATCCTTCATCTCTACGTCTAAAACTTTACGAAACGACGCGAACCTGTTACAATAAAATGATACAATTTAGAACCCTATTTAATTTTTCGCCGTCCATACTAGGCATTCAAAAGACACTTTATTTGCCTCTTGTCAACTTTGTTGAGAACGTTTAATGCATCCTTTCCTCCCGTCTCACTTAAATGACGGTTAATCGCACAAATAAACAAAAAAAGCAAATTGGGCGGATAATGCTCTCCATTTTGCTTGGCCAGTTCACAAATTAAACGAACTTGCCCAACCAAAAGTTTAGCGTATTTGGTGGCATATGCTCTAGAGGAACGGTCAGATCTTGAACATCTTCGCATTTCAGATCAGCCACTCCAACAACTTCTACATTGCACATGTACTTTGCCGCTGCTGCTGCCATTCCTCGCCCTAAATATCCTTTGCTATTCACCTTCGAGCAAAGTGCGCGGGTTTTGCGCTCGAAAATGTTGTAATAATTGGAGGAATAAATGTGTTGAAATCATCTTTTTGTACTATATTATCACAGTGTTTTAGAATATACTTAAACAACCATTCACCTCAGTGTCGGTGGCTAGTGGTTGATATTTGCCTCTTGGGTGACTCAGTACTTGTTAATTATTCTGCTGCATTTAAACAGACGTTTATACTTTTTACAGTTTGTCCGAAGGAGGCAATTCCTCTCTCAGGCAGCGGAAAAATAAGCAGCACAAACTACCCAAAGAGTAACTACACTGCGTCCAGAAATTGTACCTGGAACATTACCGCGGCAGCTGACAAAATTGTAAACTTTACGTTTACTGACTTTGCCTTAAGTGAGTGTTCAACCAATTTTTGTTCGGACTCTTGTTCTTATGTTGAGCTTTATGATGGTGGGTCAACAAGTTCGCCTTGGCTGGGACGATTTTGCCAGGGGTCGTCTTGGAATAAGCCTCATTTCTCGAATGGAAGCCAAATGTTTGTGATGTTCCATCCCGGACAAACAGTTGCTCGTGGTTTTGAAGCAGAATATTCAGTGCTGTCTC